AGTTCCAGAATTCATTACTGTAAACTATTGACATCTTCAAACATTTGTTGAAAACTCATCTCTTTTATAAAGCATACAATGATGTAGTATCCTAGTTCGAGTCTTGTGCTTATGGCGCCTTAGAGAAAATTTGTTTTGGTAAGCGCTATACAAAGGACAATTATTATCATTATTATTATGTGTTTCATATGATCTTCTTCCACTCCAAACCTTATTTTACAGTGGCACTGTTTTTCTTATCTGCAGGAAAATATTGGAATAGAAGCATTAGGCTGGACCACAAGAGCCAGGACAATTTTTTTCACATTCTTTTTAAATAATTCAATTCTAACCCTTCTTTCTGCCACTTTTAACTAAAATATATAAAGAGAACCTGTCATTGTTTTTAAAGCACTTCGTATGACTGCGTACAAGAAAACCTTTTAAGGCAACGAATTAACGTTTTCAGTTGGCTTCCCTTAGTATTTATTCTTTATCTGAATAACTAATGACAATCAATTTCTGTTCTTTATGTTTGTCCTTTGCATTCGTTTTGTTGTCCGAACATCTGTAACCTTCTGTACTTGTCCATTGTTATGGGCATTCCTGCATTTTTTGGTTCATTAGTTACTGTATTTTTTTTTACATAAATGAATGAATGAATGAATGAATGAATAATCGAACGAACAAACGAGCGAATGAATGAAAGAAAAAAGGAAAGAAAGTGATTGATGAATGAATAAATGAATTGAATTAATAAATAAATGAATGAATGAAGCGTTATTCGTGGTGCATTTGTTGCTTTAGCAATGTAATGTAATACGAGTACGGTAATGTTTGACAGTTGGTATGATTATGTCTGCCCAAGTTGCAAACATTGTAAAGACAACCAACTTAATTCCAACTTTTCAGAATAAACCGTGTTCGGAAAATGTTGACTGATGAACCAATAAAAGTCGTTGTTCACACTCTTGTTAGTTCCAGAATTGATTACTGTAAACTATTGACATCTTCAAACATTTGTTGAAAACTCATCTCTTTCATAAAGCATACAATGATGTAGTATCCTAGTTCGAGTCTTGCGCTTATGGCGCCTTAGAGAAAATTTGTTTTGGTTAAGCGCTATACAAAGGACAATAATATTATCATTATTATTATGTGTTTCATATGATCATCTTCCACTCCAAACCTTATTTTACAGTGGCACTGTTTTTCTTATCTGCAGGAAAATATTGGAATAGAAGCATTAAGCTGGACCACAAAGAGCCAGGACAATTTTTTCACTTCCTTTTTAAATAATTCAATTCTAACCCATTTTATGCCAATTTTAACTAAAATATATAAAGAGAACCTGTCATTGTTTTTAAAGCACTTCATATGACTGCGTACAAGAAAACCTTTTAAGGCAACGAATTCAGTTGGCTTAGTATTTATTCTTTATCTGAATAATTAATGACAATCAATTTCTATTCTTTATTTTGTCCTTTGCATTCGTTTTGTTGTCCGAACATCTGTAATCTTCTGTACTTGTCCATTGTTATGGGCATTCCTGCATTTTTTGGTTCATCAGTTACTTATTTTTTAACGTAAATGAATGAATGAATGAATGAATGAACGAACGAACAAACGAGCGAATGAATGAAAGAAAAAAGGAAAGAAAGTGATTGATGAATGAATAAATGAATTGAATTAATAAATAAATGAATGAATGAAGCATTATTCGTGGTGCATTTGTTGCTTTAGCATAGCTAAATCATGTTGAATAAATATCAGAAATTTAGTCTCTTTATTTGTTACCATATCATACAACCACGCAATAGCTAATCACAGACATTATGACACAAACAAAACCATAGTTTAATATGCATGAAAATGTACTTTAATGTATCTTTAAAAACAATGTTGTTATTATATTGAAATTTAAGAATTTTAAAATAATAAATTATCGTAAATATATAAATATAATATAAAATCATTACCATTTGAGTATTTGTTTACATTGACTTTCAAGTTAGAAATATTTAAAAATGACAGTAAACTAAATTTAAAAAGATAATCTCTAAACCGTTTTTTTGCAGTAATAATAATAAGAATAAAACACATTAGGCCAGATAGATGTAAACGTTTAAAGATGTATTTCATACTTTTATGTCTTTTCAGCTTGTAGAAAGACAAAATGACTAGCTAATAGCTAAACCCAGGGACGTATACAGGTGGAGCCGTGGGATCCGCGGCCTCTTCCCCACCCCCACCTTTGTACACAGTGTTAAAATTGTAAAGCTTGTTCTTGCTAGTCAATAATACGAATTCTTTCCAGGGATCGCTCAAAATGAATACTTCTAAACTATGTAATTATGCATCAGCCCACGTTAAACAGATCCCTGATAAAAGATCATGAGAAATTTGTTAGCGCTTCATTTTGACTATAATGATGATGTGATGATGATGAATTTTACTATATAAAAGTGTAATTTCCGGCCATCTAGATGTACTATTTCTTCAAATGTTCTCACCTCAATCCCAAATATGGTGGGGTTGAGGTGGTCGTTATATCACGGCTTTGAAGTATGTAAAGTATATATTCCAAAACAATGTTTTTAAGCTTTATTTTCTATGGTAAATCAAACATTATTAATAAGATCTCTATGGTTGCCGAAAATCCCCGATAAAAGATCATGAGAAATTTGTTGGCGCTTCATTTTGAGTATAAATGGTGATGTGATGATGATGAATTTTACTAAAAATGTCATTTCTGGTCATCTAGAGGTACTATTCCCTCAATTTTCGCACCTCAGCCCCAACCATGGTGGGTCTGAGATGGGTGTCAACTCACAAAATTCCCCCTCCCACCTCCACCTTTCAAAACAGATTGCGCCCTTCCTGGTTATGACATTAAAGCCCCATTCCCGGCAAAATTTCACTTTTTAAGAAAAATCTAATTTTTGTATAATGTTATAAAGATTTATAAATATAATACGGAATTGCTAGTTTAACTGAATTTAGACATTCCTAA